ATTAATTGTAGGAGGATGATTTTGCTTCGTAATATTGTCTTCAACCATGCACAAATTTTGAATATTTTGATGTTATATTTAAAAAAGATGAAGCAAGCTCAAGTCACCCTCCTAGTGACAGTGTTGGGAGTTCACCGTCAGTGAACTCTCACTTTGACGGTGATATCGTAGTGATCGATGATTGAATGTTTGGTGCGATCAGTCATGTTGTCTGTTGTAATGGTAACTTATAATATTTGTATGTATTATAATGTATATGTGCATGTAGCAGCTGGATAAATATGTTTACCAATTTTTTTTTATGCAACACACATTAGCGTGTGTGCATGTAGCTTCACACTTAGTACTTTTTTGTGTTGCCTTTGTTTTGTATATATACTTGAAGGCAACAAAAAATATAAACACATCGGGTACGTATAATTACGTAGTACGCTGCCTTACTTTTGCTTCGTCTTTTGTATAAGACTACGTGTGCTAATGAAATATGTGTAGGTGTTTATCGATTCGTTTATATCGGTTATTTTTTTTCTATCTTTTTTAATTTTTATAACAATGTGGGACAATTTTATGAGCAAATTAATTAGATCAAAATTTTTTGGTATTGCAAACCTTAAAACTAAATTATTTTCGGTTTGTACACTTGGAAACATACATGAAAATTGGAGTGAAGTTTAAAGGTGGACAAAATAAATAATGTTGCCTCACCCAACAATGACTTTGGATTGGATAAGAGTAAAGGGTAAAATTGTAATTTAATGTAAAAGGTAAGAGAATTTACACAAAAAATAATGGTTTATCCGTGGGCCCCATAATATACAAAAATACTTCTCAAACCAATGATTGAATTACACAACTTTATTAGTATCCTGTCCATGTTCCCCGAACTTGGGTTTTCATTGGATTGGTTTGGATAAAAAAACCAAGCCAATCCTATCCTCCACATACTTGCCAAACACACCCTTTAGGTATTAGGAAAGAGAGATTGGATAAAATAATGTATGGCCTACCTTATACCACTTATACCCAAATTTTGGACCTAATATTATCACTATAAATAGCCCAAGGCTTGGACGACCAGTGCATTTAATACCATAAAAACCTTCTTAAGTAAATCCACATATTTGGTGGGTTAAAAATACTCCGGAAAACCCACTTATTTGTGTAAAATACATTTTTACCTCTAACAAACCCAGATATATAAATACCAAACATGTGCATAGATTGGACTAACTTGGGGTCCTTGGTAGTTTTAATCGCTCTACCATCATTCAATACTCCATCTAAGAAGTGTTACATAGAATAAGGATGGTCCAACACTTTTTTAATTCTTGAACCAAACAAAAGATAAGGGGAATAGATTTTAGATTTGTATTTTTTTTTCTTCAGCTAGATGGGTATAGGAGGGATGAGTTTATCAAATTCGATCATTCCTAATACTTAAACCAAACACAACATTAGAGTTTTTTTTTAGTAAAATGAAATGAAAAATTTACGTATTTATTCATAGATTTGCAGATATTTTCAAACATAATATAATATTTCAACATCAATAAACATATTGATTTTCACGGACTATAGGCTGGCCAATAGATCGGGGCGATGGGCCGATGCCAAACGACCCAACTGACGGTATATCTAAACTATGTTCTATGGGGCTGGGCGTGATCACTTGGAGACCTTACTTTTGACAATTATAGGTAAGGTGTCAAAATATAACATCACCAATTAACAAGACACAAATACCAAATTTTAGGGTTTTGGTATTCTTTCAAGTCATCAGTTTCGTAAACGAGTAGATCTGACACAACACGATTAATAACTGAATCAGGTATGAGCGAAATCAATCAAAAGAAACACACACTCGTGTATATATCGGTTATACATGATTCATACAAGACACGAACCTGATATAATACGGTTCGTTAGAAATGAATTAATAAACGAATTAGATATCGGTGAAGTATTTTTTTAAAATGAATCTGTTAAGACTCGATACGAATCTACCTCACTCGACACGATTGATATGTCTATTATATCAAAAATTGGTATATGATATCGAAATACGTCGAGTTTGTGACCAATCTAGTTGATTTCTTATTTGGCAGCGAATTTCATCAAGAGGAGTATCCAATCAAGATATAGGACAATATACACATTGTACTCTTTTTCCTTCGTTTTGTCTCATTGAGTTTTCCTAATAAGGTTTTCATGAGACAACATTAGTACATCCAATATTATTCTAAGATTTATTTGAATATGTACTTTTTTTTTCTTTCGCTTAGGTTTTGTCTCATTGGGTTTTCCTAATAAGGTTTTAATGAGACAACATTAGTACATCCAATGCTATTTTAAGATTTATTTGAATATGTACTATTTTTCCTTCGCTGGTTTTTTTTCCCATAGGATTTTCCTAGCAAGGTTTTAATGAGGCATATTATCTTAGCATAATAGTCATCTAAAAAGGAATGTTGTAAATATTGTACATAAAATGAGTGACTATTAACCTTTCAATTCGTATCCCAAGTAAATAGGAATTAGTGGGTGTTAGTATATTAGCCTATAACCTGTACCTATTGATATACCACATTAAGTATTGTATTTTATGGTTATTATGTTTGAAGACTTATAAAATGAGACCTTGGTTACATTGAGAAATTCATAAGTAGAGAAATTCTTTATTTAACATTTCTATATTATATTGTTCATGTCTATCTCCATATTCTTAGTTTTATCACACATTTTGATTTGTGCCTTTTTAATTTTTTCACTGCAGGCTAGTTAATATGACGAAGCGATGGGCCGATGCGTTAATATGATCAAAATATGACACGATTCATTAATATGACACGAACACGTCAAAAAATTAGAGAATTTGTGTCTTCTTTGAGTCACCCATTTTTATAAATGAGTAGATTCGACATGATATAATTAATAAATAAATTGAGTCTGAGTGAAATCCATCAAAAGAAATACATAATATAGACTCATGTATAAACCGGTTATACACGATTCATACAAGACAAGAAACTAATACGATATGATTAATTAGACACGAATTAATAAATAAATCGGTTATAGGTGAAATATTTTTTGACACGAACTTGCTAAGACTTGATACAAACTCGTTTTATCTAACACGATTAACATGTCTGATCACCATTGATTGCATGTCCTAAGCTTATGTGCGAATCTATCCCAACCAAAAATTTTTATCGGGGAGGAAGTTCTTATGGTTGTGATCTGAAGCAGGAGTGTTCATGTAGGAGCTTTTTGGTAAGGTGGTATTCGAGGGGGGGGGGGGGGTTGCCAAGATAGGTTTGAGGAAAATAGTTCAAAGGACCCTTAAATCTCATATTTGAATTGAAAATTCAATCATGAGTTTCTTAACCTGGCCTGTAGTTGACTCAAATATTAAACTCATGATCATAAGTTTCATCAAACCTAAAGGGAGATGGGTTTGGAAATATAGGTTAAGAGATTAAGGAGGCAAAAGACAATTCTACGCCGTAATATGAGAATGAATTGGATTGATAAAAAATAAAATAGTTATTTATTAGACAAATAATTATTAATAATTATAATATATCAGTGGATCTTATATGTGTATGTGTTACATATTAAACATGAGTATGAACTGGACTAGATTCAATGTTAAATCTCATCTTTGTAAAAAAAGATTTAAGTTTAAAAAGGTTTGAAAAAGTCAATCCAAACCCTCTCAAAAATCCATCTAAATAAGCCCTTAGAGCAACAATTGTACAATCTAATAATATTTTTGGGACTTAAAAATTAAATATAATTTTTTTATTTAATAATGTGATAATAATATTATAATGACAATTGCTTGACTCTGTCCATTAGAATTATGAGTAACATTATTCTCACCTAAAAAACGGATATAATGATAATGCAGTGATATGGTCTAATAGTGTTATTATGACGGTAAGGATTTCATCACTTAACACATCATTATAGTAGTAAATTGAGTAAATTTTTTTTATGTCTCTGTAGTATTATTCTAGAATGATATCCTTGACACTTAATTAGTTTAAAAATTAAGTCAACTTCTTATGTACCAAAATAAATTACTCTAGTACAATATGATGACCGCTAATGCTATGCTTACTCATGAAAGGTTTTCAATTTTTTGTTGCATCAAATCAATGTTGATAATGAGAATAATAAATCCAATTAACTTTAAGAAATAATTCAATGGCTAAAAATATATTACATTATTCAATGACTAGCAATACATTACATGACTCAGTTTTTTTTTTGTTCAATAGTTAGAGATATTCGGGTCAACTTATACATATTTTAATTAATCCCCTTCTTGATCCGGTCAAAAGCAACATTGTATGTCAACCCTATTCCATTTTCTGGTCAATCCATCATATCTTTTATTCCAACAATTTTGAGTCTACCAAAACCAAATCCCCCCCCCCCCTCCTTCCTTTTTTTGTAAACATGGTCACTCCATTTTAATTTATATAAATAAGTAATGCTATTAAAATTTAAAATTTTAACATAATAATATAGGAGTAGCATGATCTAATAAATTTATTGTGTTAATTTTTTTTTTATAAAACTTTATCACTTGATATATCATAAAGCCAACAACTTAAAGTTAATTATTTAAGCATCAATAATATTACCTTATGAAAATTTTGTTTTCTTGAAATTAAGGGTTCAAGCCCTCTTCCTCCACCCCTCCCCCAAAAAAAAAAATATATATATATATATATATTACTCTAATTCTTACAAATGCATAAATAGTACATACTACAAACCTCATACACCAATGCATGGAAACCCCATAATCCAACAAAAATGTAGAATCAACCTCATAATCCAGCAAAAACACCTATTATTAGAAGTTCTAATTCATTGTAGTTATTATATCAGCAACACGTTCCAATATTCCCTGACACCCACTATCCATCCAACATAATTATAACAAATTAGACTCTCAAAATAGTTAAAAATGGATTTTCTTAATCTCAATTGTGGTTGTTGCTCATGAGCATCTTCCCAGTCAACCCACAAGTAAGAGCTTCATTAGGTATCTTCCCAAAACGATGAACACCTTCAGCAAAAACCACACCCATACCCATATGCAAGTGAGGCTCTATATGACAATGAAAGGCCCACACTCCTGGATTATCAGCAACAAATCTCAGAGCTGTCCACCCAAAAGGAAACATAACTGCTGTGTTCTTCAATGGCGGATTCTTCAAGTTGAAATTCTTCACCTCCTTCTCTGAAAACCTTCCTTCTCCATAACCCAACACCCAGAAATCATGTCCATGCAAATGCCATGGATGAATCTCACTAACATTCACAGCTAACGCATTGGCGTTTTGAAGTATAATATCAACAGTGGTATTGAATCTCAGTATGTAAACTCCATTTCCGTATGTTGAGTTTTGGTTCACCGCCGGCTTCATGACGTCGTAGTCGTCGGGAAAGTTTTCAGGCGGGCTGTTCTGGTCGAAGGAATTGTTTAGACCATATTTGATGGCACCCAGATAAGGGGTGGTTGGTAAGGTTAAGGAAATATTGTTGATAGCCCATTTGGTGTATCCATCAATACGGTTCTGGGTGTTGAGGAGAATAATTCTCCGGTGGGATGTGGTTGGTGGTTTGGGAGAGCCCATGAGGGCAAGGACTTTGGCGGAGAAGGCTTTGTTGTGGTTGTAATCATTCCAAAGAGGGGCGGTGGGTGGTGGCGATGGTGGAAGCACGGCGGCGGAGGTTGGGTGGTAGTTTAGGATACTGAGGCCGTGAGAGGTGTTGGGTTGTCTTCCTCTCACACTAACTGAAATCCAGTAGTTCTTGGATGGATTTTGATCGGTGGTGAAAAGTACTGAGTAGGTCTCACCGGAATAAATGTCCACGTCATTGACAGAGAATGGTCGGAGATAGTTTCCATCTGCTTCTACCACCACCATTTTGTGATCCTAAAGACAATGGGAGGAGAAACTGAATCAATCTTTCTTTTTAATAATTTTTTTTTTTTGGTTCATCAGCATGAAAAATAAGAATCAATAAAGAGAATAACAAAAATATGTTGGAAAAATAATATTAAAGAAGACTTTTCATGTTTTAGGAGTTATTTTTATGCATTTAAATTTTTGTATTAGTAGGTCGTCAATTTGATATTAGTGGGGACAAAGTAATTATGGTATTTTAATTATTCAAGTAATGGAGGAATAGAGTCTTTATTATTTTTATTATTGCATTATGTAGTGGAGTTATTTTGTATGTCATGAGAGTCTATATATATCCTATGTAATACATCCATTTGGATGTGAGTGAATACAAAGAGTTCTTCCAATCTTCAATAGTCTCTCCAATTATATTTTTTTTTTGGTGAGTGTGATAGTCCTCTAGATTCCAACAAAATCAACACTGTAATGCTATCTATATAATAAAATACCTAGCAATTTGAATTTTATCCCATGCACATTTTCACTCTCAAAAATATCACACAACTCATTTCTATCACATGTTCAATCATTTAATATTTGATTAATTTATAGTTTAACATAGTTTTTATTTTCGACTTTATCTATACATAATAGTATATACATGTTGATAAATTTTTCTCAAATTATGTATTTTTAGAAAATTTTTAATATTTTTTAAGAAAATAATGGGTAAAAATAAATTTTAAATGATGTAATCAAAAAAAATAAAAGAAAAAAAATACTATTTAATATTGTGCGATCAATTTTTTATTCTATAACTAGTACATCTATAGAAAATACGAGACTTACAAAATTTGGATAAAATACAGATTTAGTCTCCAAATTAGGCGTGTAATGTCTATTTGATCCCAAAGTTGTATTGATCCCAAATGAATGTCAAAAAATCGTTAACGCTTCTGGTCACGCGTCGATCACGTAGGTCCAAATAAACACAAATTAAGAAATTTATGGACCAAATAGACATAAATGGAAGTCAAGATGGAAGTCAAAGAAGTAGAGGACGTGGACGTGGAGGTCGTGGTGGATGTGGTTGAGGTAGAGGAGAAAATTTTGGCCAAAATGTGTCCAACAAAGAAGAAAGAGGCCAAGAATCACATTGTAGAAGAGGACGTGGAAGAGGCAACAATTCAAAGTCATATGGAAGAAGGTATGACAAATCTCATATTCAATGTTATAACTGTCATCGATATGGTTATTTTGCTTCTGAGTGTGGAAATGATTTTGTGGAAGAAAGAACACACTTGGTTGAAGAGGTAGAGCCGACCTTGTTGTTGGCATACAAAGAAGAGTAAAAGGGAGACAAGAACGTGTGGTACCTTGACTTTGGTGCTAGTAATCATATGTGTGAAAATAAAGAGATGTTTGCAGAGCTTGATGAATCGGTGAGTGAAAAAGTCACTTTTAGATATTCTTCTCAAATTCTGGTAATAAGAAGAGGTAATGTTTTGATTCGTTTGAAGGATGGAAGACACCAAGTTATTTCTAATATTTTTTATGTTCCAAATATGAAAAATAATATTTTGAGCTTGGGACAACTCTTAGAGAAAGGTTATGATATTTGTACGAAAAATCATAATCTTTCAATAAGAGATGAAAACGAGAATTTGGTTGCTAAAATGCCGATGACAAGAAATATATTGTTTTTGTTAAATATTCAAAGTGATGTGACAAAATGCTTGAAAGCATGTGTTAAAGATTCTTCCTGGTTATGACACTTGAGATTTGAGCACTTGAATTTTGGAGGACTAACCTTGTTATCTAGAAAGAAGATGGTGAACGGATTGCCTTCTATCAACCACCCGGATCAACTTTGTGAGGGATGTTTAATTGGAAAGCAAGCTAGAAAGAGCTTTCCCAAAGAATCTATTTCAAGTGCAACTAAACCACTTCAACTTGTTCATTCGGATGTTTGCAGCCCTATAGACCCACCATCATTTGGCAAGAACCGGTATTTTTTTCTCTTTATTGATGATTTTAGCCAAAAAACGTAGGTTTATTTTTTTTTTAAAAAACGGAGGTGTTTGGTGTTTTCAAAAAGTTTAAGGCTTTGATTGAAAAACAAAGTGGGTATGAAGTTAAGGCAATTAGATCCGATAGAGGAGGTGAATTCACATCAAATGAATTCAAAATTTTTTGTGAAGAAAATAGAATTCACCATCCTCTAATGGTTCCAAGATCACCACAACAAAATGGTGTTGCCGAAAGGAAAAATCGAACCATTCTTGACATGACTCGCAGTATGTTGAAGAGTAAAAAAATGCCCAAGGAGTTTTGGGCGGAAGTTATTGATTGTGCCATCTACTTGTTAAATCGGTGTCCCACTAGAATTGTTCAATACAAAACACCACAAGAAGAATGGGGAGGAATCAAGCCAAATATTTCTTATTTGCGGGTCTTTGGAAGTGTATGCTATGCATATGTGTCGGATGAGAAACGGACCAAACTAGATGACAAGAGTGAAAAGTTTTTCTTCATTGGCTATGATTCAAGAAGCAAATGTTACAAGCTTTACAACCCAAGTAATGACAAGATAATCATTAGTAGAGATGTTGAGTTTGATGAAGAAGATGAATGAGATTGGAACACTCCACAAGAAGACTATGATTTTTTTCCATTCTTTGAAGAAGAGGAGGAGCCCAATAATGAGATCATGAAGTTTCTCATTTATTCTCCTCCACCATCACCACCATCATCCATCAATGTGCAAGTATCTCCATCATCATCTAAAGCAAGTTCAAGTGAAAGGCCACCTTGCATGAGGAGTCTTCGAGATATCTATGAAGAAATCAAAGAGGTAATTCAAGGATTTAGTGATCTAACACTATTTTGTCTATTTTTCGATTGTGATCCCATACGCTATGAGAAAGCGGCATAAGACAAGAAGTGGAGGAGTGCCATGAATGAAGAAATTGATACTATTGAAAGAAATGAAACATGAGAGCTTGCCACACTCCCTAGAGGATAAAAGGCTATTGGAGTGAAATGGGTGTACATGGCAAAGAAAAATGCCAAAGGTGAAGTGGAGAGGTATAAAACAAGGTTGGTTGCAAAAGGCTATAGTCAAAGACCGTGTATTGACTATGATGAGATATTTGCAACTGTTGCTCGTTTGAAAACAATTAGATTGATTATTTTTTTAACCGCTCTAAATGATTGGAAAATTCATCAAATGGATTTAAAGTCCATGTTTTTGAATGGTTTTCTTGATGAAGAGGTGTATGTTGAACAACCCTTGAGTTATGTTGTGAAAGGGTAAGGAGAGAAAGTCTTGAAATTAAAAAAGACTTTGTATGGTTTGAAGCAAGCACCAAGGGCTTGGAATAGTAGACTTAACAAGTACTTTCAAACAAATAATTTCACCAAGTGTCCCCATGAACATGCTCTTTATACAAAGGTGAATGATAATGATGATATACTCTATACTTGTTTGTATATGGATAATTTGATCTTCACAAGAAATTGTCCAAGAATGTTTGAAGATTTCAAGAGAGCAATGACTAAAGAATTTGAGATGACCGACATTGGGCTTATGTCATACTACCTTGACATTGAAGTGAAGCAAATGAAAGAAGATATTTTTATCTCTCAAGAAAGTTATGCTAAAACAATTTTGGCAAAATTTAAGATGAAAGATTGTAAGCCGATATGCACACCAGTTGAATGTGGTGTAAAATTGTCAAAATATGAAGATGGAGAACATGTGGATCCTACCCATCTCAAGAGCTTAGTGGGAAGCTTAAGGTATTTAACATGCACAAGGCCGGATATTCTTTTTGGTGTTAGTCTTGTAAGTCGCTATATGGAAGGTCCTACCATAACCCATTTGAAGGCGGCGAAAATAATTCTTAGATACATCAACGGTACACTTAATTATGGATTGCTATATTCTTGTTCTAACAATTTCAAGTTTGCGGGTTATTGTGATAGTGATTGGGCCAGAGATATGGATGATAGAAAATGTACTACCGGGTATGTTTTCTTCATGGGAGATACCGCATTTGCTTGGAGTTCAAAAAAGCAATCTATTGCGACTCTTTCAACTTGTGAAGCCGAGTATGTGGCGGCTACATCATGTATTTGTCAAGTCATTTGTCTTAGAAATTTGTTGAAGGAGCTTCATTTGTCTCAAGAAGAATCAACGAAAATCTTCATTGACAACAAATCGGCACTAGCGTTGGCAAAGAATCCGGTGTTTCATGATCGTAGTAAGCATATTGACACAAGATTCCATTTCGTTAGAGAGTATGTGACCAAGAAAAAGGTGGAGCTCAAGTTTGTGAAGTCTCAAGATCAAATTACTGATATTTTCACAAAGCCCCTCAAAGAGAATTTTTTTTGCAAATTGAGAAGTTTGCTTGGAGTTGAAAAGAAAAATCATATTTAAGGGGGGTGTTGAAAAAATAATATTAAACATGATTTTTCATGTTTTAGGAGTTATTTTTATGCATTTAGTTTTTTGTATTAGTAGGTCATCAATTTGATATTAATGGGGACAAAGTAATTGTGGTATTTTAATTCTCCAAGTAATGGAGGAGTGAGGTCTTTATTATTTTCATTATTGCATTATGTAGTGGGTTTATTTTGTATGTCATGAGAATCTATATATATCCTATGTAATACATCAATTTGGATATGAGTTAATATAAAGAGTTCTTCCAATCTTCAATAGTCTCTCCCATTATATTTTTTTTGTGAGTGTGTGATAGTTCTCTAGATTCCAACAAAATCAACACTATAATGATATCTATATAATAAAATACCTAGCAATTTGAATTTTATCCCACACTTATTTTCCCTCTCAAAAATATCACACAATTTATTTCTATCACGTGTTCAATCATTTAATATTTGATTAATTTGTAGTTTAACATAGTTTTTATTTTAGACTTTATCTATATATGATAGTATATTCATGTTGATAAATTTTTCTCAAATTATGTATGTTTAAAATTTTTTTAAAATTTTTTAAGAAAATAATGGGTAAAAATAAATTTTAAATGATGTAATCAAAAAAATAAAAGAAAAAAATATTATTTAATATAGTGAGATCGATTTTATATTCTATGACTAGTACATCTATAAAAAATACAAGACTTACAAAATTTGGGTAAAATACATATTCAGTCTCCAAAGTATGCATGTAATGTCTATTTAATCCCTAAGTTGTATTTATTCCAAATGAATGTCAAAAAATCGTTAACGCTTCTAATCACGTGCCGATCACGTAGGTCCAAATAGACACAAATTAAGAACTTATGGACCAAATAAACATAAATTAAGAATTTTATGGACCAAATAAATACAAAATTAATAATCACGTGATTGAAGTGTGACCATAACCGTCACGACTTTCTAACAGACGTTTGTGATTGAACTATGTAGATAAAAATTAAGAAGCTTAGGAACCAAATATACATAATTGAAAGATTGAGAACCAAATAGACGTTGAATGCATATTTTGAAGACTAAAAGTGTATTTCACCCCTTTTTTATTTTTTTATCCAATAACTGTGATCATTCTTATTATTAAAAATAATTCACTCGTTCACCTGCCCAGCTCCCCATTGGCCAGTAATGAACACCTCTCTCTCTCTTCTATTATTGTTCTTTGTCATGGTTTCTCATTGCTTTTTCACATTTTTCTACGCCTCTTTTCAAGTTCAAACTTTTTTGACAAATAAAAATCAATAAAAAGAGGAGCATTACTCTACTGTGAGAATCTTATTTGGAGACTTTATTTAGGGGCTTAATGATGTGGTTTCAATGTAACCATTAGATTAATTGTGAGTTCCAATGTTAGATGAAACCCATAACCAATTTAATGATCGTATATCATTAGATTTCTAAATAGGTCTAAATAACATTTCCTTAAAAAGAGAACAACAATAAATCAACACTCTAATGCAAAACATATATAGAAAAATGGAGACTTATCGGTGAATTCTGTTTACCGAAGGTGAAGAATCAAATCAATTCGTCTCACTAAATAAAGTTAGTAAAATCCACCGATTCAATAATCTATATCAATTTGAAATTTAATAAAAGCTATCTCATTAGTTGAACTGTCCAGGTCTCCCAACACCTCTCTCTCTCTCTCTCTCTCATTTTTGTACTGTAATGGATTTTAGTCTTGTTTTCGCATTGCTTTTTCTCTTCTCTATTGTCAAGTTCAAACTTTAAACAGCAATAGGGAGGGTCATTTAAAGCGTATTTTTCTGGTTCTTTGACTAGGTCATGAACAGAAATGATGGCATGAGAAAATATCTCATGTGCTTCTCTGCATGCAACTACGAAGGAATCATGTCATGTGACAATTATTACACTGGTGCGATGATATGATCATGGATACAAGGAGATATGGCTGTGGGACACATCCTTACCCCCCTCTATTTTGCTGTCTTCTTTTTGGATAATTCTTGAAGTAAAATATACTTATTTTTATAGAGGTAATAAAGGCTCTATGGAGTTTAGAGTTATATCCACTTAATAACTAGAGTATCCTCTTTGTATAAAATATAATAATGGTTCAAATCGTTCAATCTTACATCTTAGAATGAGTTAATTGTATTGGAGGCTCTTAAAGTATGAAGTTTGTTTTATTTTAGTCTTTAATATTTCAATTAATGATTTTTTTATCATAAACTTGACACGTGATATTTAAATATGGATAAAAAAATAATTTGGATAATTTTTGACCAAATTTTTACTTAAAGTTTGGTTAAATAACTACCCAAATTATATAATTTTGATCATGATCTATCCAAATTTTGGTCAAAAAACTACCCATATTACATATTTTTTGTCAAAAGCTACACAAATTTTGTTTAAAAGTTATCAAAATCCTCTTTTTTTTTTTTTTTTTTTTTCATATTTAGGTATTACATAACAAGTTTATAATAAAAAATCGTTAGCAATCTGGACGTTATCTGTTTGAAAGACCATATAGAAATATATTCAATACTTCAAAGACCAAAATGATACAATTAAAACATTAAGGACTAAAATGAAATAAATTACATACTTTGAAGACCTCTAATGTAATTAACCTTTTTATAGTATACAAAACTATTTCACAACCCACATTATTTTGTCCAAACCAAACATTCCAGCCAGCCACATACATTTTAATTTGTAAATATTATAACTAGGATAATAACAGCATGTTTTTTTATTGGACTACCCTACTATTTGCTTAGATGGTATTTAGCTTATCATTTGGAATCGAAAACTTAGTATGGGGCCCATGCACCTTTATTCTATAAATAATTGTAAGTGTAGTTTTCGAACTCAACTATTGGTGGGTACAAATTGCAGAGTTGCTCCACATGGAACTTTTAAGTGTAAGAAGAATTCTACTTTCAGTCACGCGAGAATATTATTATTACATCAAGTTTCTCCTATCTCCCCCCACGTGGTCCTGCCTTATCTTACAGTGTAGTGTCAGCAGGTTGTTTAAACCAAACCATAAGATACAGGATACAGCTATTATACTGAGGATTTATTCAATCCCATAGTGCAGAACATATTCTCGAAGATAGTGTTTGGAGAATTATGGTGTACACTCCAGACCATATCTCCTAGTTGGCATTTTTCTTTCCCTCGTCTACATACAAAAGTCAAAGTTATTGGACGGGGCCATACCGGTGAGAAGAAGCTCAGATGAGCCAAGTCGTGGGAGAGTCTTCTTGTCTCTTGGTGAAGAAAGAACCACACCAAGCAAATGCATACAAATCTTGTTGGACGGGTGCAGTAATGGAGTACACCTGGGGTCTTTAATTGGCTTCAGGACATTAGCTAAGCCTAAACCATCGATAGACCACCATAATAGTGGCTGTGTGCGGTGGTGGCTCCTCCACCACCACCCTTTTGGCTGCTATTTTAATCTTTGCCACCTATTCAAATTAATTTGATAATTCTATGTCTTATTAGTCTATGACATCCAAAAATAATAATTTCTATTGCTTTTGGGCTTCCAAAAGGTGACAACAAGTCATTGTAATGCTTCCCACTATATTCCCACTATATAATATATACTTTTCACAGCCTTTCCATGTGTACAAAAAATATCAACATTGTTAGCAAATACTTATAATACTGACTGATACATTTATGTCTTGCGATTCTAAACAAGATTAAAAGATGGGTTTGTTTCAAGAGCAATGTTATTGAAATCTAATTTATTGACCTAATTCATTATGATATTTGGATTGATTGTAGGGCCCATCAAACATTAGAACTTGGTACTGATCTAATGGTTCTATTGAAAACACATCATTATATCAGCAAATTAGATCAGATTTTTAAGTCCAAATAATATTATTATTGTTTCAATGGATTGGTGTCATAACTGGATTGACCTATTGAAATTGTTTACCATATTGAGTTTATGTGAACTCGGCCAAACACTAAGTTATACAATGACTATAGACGACAAAACCCGACATGCTATACATACCTAATATTACACGACTATTATGGATCGAGTATTGATTGGATAAATTTGGAAATGAGGCACACAACCTATTAGCAATCCTAAATCTCTCTCTCAATCCCTTCCCCTCTCTCTCTCTCTCTCTATATATATATATATATATATATATATATTATACATACACGCATGGAGAGGTATTCAAATACATATATTTGTATGTATACATGTCTGGTAGATCATTGGGAGCTGCGTGATAGGCAAATGACATTAAACTATAAGATGGATATGTTTATGGATGAAGTAACCAATAATGACCACTAATGGTGCAAGAGACAAGAGTAGCACAGCACATATAAGGCACAATCCCACTAATATACTATATTGTATTCCATCAACATTAAAATAAATCAAAGATAAGTGAGCTTATGGTTTTCTTACCCCAATTGCCAAGTTGAGTGAAGCCAATGAAGTGGTGCTGGCCACCCTCAGCCTGTAGGTCTTGTTTTGCTGCACATGTAGTATTTGGGGTGCGCACTGCTCGTTTCCTCTAAACTTGCATGGACTTGAGGAAGTGTTGCTAACATGCGCATCTAGGGAACAGTTGTACTGCCCTCTCCCGTTGATCAGCAGACTCTAAAAGCATTAACAAAGAGAAGAAAAAGCATAGTTTTAGGTACAAGTGACAAAAAAAATCCACTTTAACCCCCTTGACTTTCTCATTATTGTCTCTCCCATACATGAAAATTCTTGGATGAGAGTGGTCAAGAGGATAGAGTTGTCCAGCTACCGTGCATCACAATGGCAAAAGATCAGAAATAGTTTGGGGAAAGCATCTTTTGAATTATTTTTCCCGCCTTTTTAAGTATTTTTATATTTGGTAAATTACTCTTTTAAAGAATTGTTTGTTTTTTATTTTTACATTTTTCTTATTTGGACTTGGTGTATTCCTCTAGCAGTAATTACGTGCATGGTGTGATGATATGAAATATTCATTTATTTATTAAGATGCTTCTTGGTCACTTGTTCAAAATAGTTACTAGATAAATATGGTTTTATGTTTTTAACAAAATTATTTTTTATTATCTAAAAAAATTGCTTAAACACAGAACTATAACAGTACATTAAATATTTATCAAGTTTTTTTTTTTGTCAGTCACTATTATAAGAAGGGTAACGATAAAATTCGAACTTGCGAACTTAATAGCAGGATTATGCAAACTGCTATCCTTTTTTTCAATCAAGTTCACCCACTTTACTATAGCAGACTTTGAGTTGGCATAACCTCTTTTCTTATCAAGTCAGCAGTCACCTACCCACTTGGTGGAGCCATAAAATGGGCAGGAACTTGAAAAAAGCCACTGAATGAAAATTAAGCTTATAAAACGAAGAGCTTGGAGAACATTGGAATGTATGTGAACAAATATTTTTTTTTTCACATAATAGATTAAAAAAGAGACATAAGTCAGATACTTTAACTGATAAAGACAAAGATTTTTTGAAACACAATGGAACTATGTTAGCCTTAAATAACAAAATTGTCCCCTAAAATTTAAAAATTTCATGTAAGAAAACTGTTTCTCTTTTAGCATAGTATGATGGGTTAATGGAAATGTTATGGTACTCAACATTCCAAACACACACACATTCTCTCTCTCTCTCTCTCTCTCTCTATCTCACACACACACACACACAAAACAGATTTTTTAAGTACCTGTGGTTCACCAATCCAGCGAAAAGGCTTGGAAGAGAGGTCAACCTCTTGTTCATGAGGGCTTTTATGCCACCAATCACTGAGTAATAGGTTAAACTCCCCCTGGTAATGGAAAGGTTCTTTCTCTCCCTCGGCCACATCTACTATGAGAGACCCATACAACCCTGCTGATCTTTGCATCCCATAGTGTCCATGGTAGAAATATGTTCCCGCCTACACCATAACATTGCCTTATGAAATGACTCTTATCAAAGTAGAACATCTCTTTTCCAAAACCCAGCTGTAAAGAGAACACTTGAAAACAAATGGGCTTGATTTGCCCTCAATAAACCATTAAACTGAGATGACAAGTTCACTTAAAACTGTGTGTGTGTGTGAGAGAGAGAGAGAGAGAGAGAGAAGCATTGTCTTACCTTGTCAACTTTGAATCTGTAGACAAATGTTTCCCCAGGGTTAATAACACACTGAGAGATGGATGCAGTTCCATCAGCCCATGGTGTCCTAAACTGAAATCAAGAAAGAACCTAAGTAAGAATAGAAGCCTCTGTGTTAAAAAGAATATATACAAACAAAAACACACATACGTATATGCAGAGAGAGAGAGAGAGACCTGTCTGATACCATGCCAGTGAATGACAACTCCTTCAGTGTGAAGTTTGTTGGTGAGTTCGACGGCGATGGTATCTCCGACACGGGCACGAATGGTAGGTCCCGGAAACTGGCCGTTGATCCCCATGACCACATTATCAATGCAATCCGGAGCCCAGTGCATATACTCCACTTCCCATTTGAAATGCCTGGTCTTAGAAGCCAGAGCGAAACCAATCAAAATCACTAAACAAAACCAGAAAAGAATATCTCTAATACCCCTTGAACATGGGTCAACCGAAGAACTCATTTTTAGCAAGAAAAAGAAGTGTTAGCAGAGATGAGAGATAGGCAAGAACGGAAAAAATGCTCTAGGGCTGGGCTTCTCCGGCGTGTAGGTCTGCGTTGCAGACTTGCGGTGATGAAGCCCCCTATATATAGCAAAGTGTTTTATATTTATTTAACTTTCTAAACTTCCACTTTACTTACTTAAAAGAAACTTTTACATTATTTTTTAGAAGGAATATTCTCGTTTATATGATGTTTATTTATGTTCAAAAGAAGTGGGAAATCACCGTATGAATACGTTTGTGTTGTTACGTCCATGGTTGACGGCATCAATAGTGAATGCGGACTTTTCCAACCCTAAGAAATCTATTTAGATTTCAATCGAGATCTCAAAGTATAAAATTTGTTTAATTTTGGGTATTAATATTTCAATTGCATCATTTTGATTATTAAAGTATTGAATATGTTTTTATGTGATCACTCAAACAAACAACATTCAAATTATTAACAATTTTTTATTATAAACTTATCACATAATACTTAAATATGAGTAAAAAAATAATTTAGATAACTTTTGACTAAATTTTTACCCAAATTTTGATTAAAGAGCTACTCAAATTACACAATTTTGATCATAAACTATTTAAATTTTGGTCAAGAATTACCCATATTACACATTCTTGGTCAAGGGCTATCCAAATTTTCATCAAGAACTACCCAATTATTTTTGTCCATATTTAAGTATCACGTGATAAATTTATGATAAAAAATAATTAACAATTTAGATGTTGTCTGCTTGAGGGATCACATAAAAATATATTCAATATTTTAGAGACTAAAATGATATAATTAAAATATTAGAGGCCAAAATAAAATAATTCTCATACTTTAGAGACCAGCAATGTAATTAATCCTAATTTGTTTTGTTAACTTTTTTAATGTACCCGAATGAACAAAAAAAAAAAGGTAGCACTAGTGAGAGAGTGCGGGAGGTCTTCATAATGATTTAAATTCTTTCTGATACCTTTTTTTTCTCCGTTTTTCATTTTGACTTATTATTTACCATTAAGAGTGAGTGACCCATTTTCATACAATGGGGTAGTTTAATACTTTTTAAAAAAATTTCTTAAGAATCCACGAACACCAACACAAATTTAGAGGCATGTAGCCATTGATGTCATGCCCATGTAGAATAACTATTGTCAACATTTTGTATTTATTGGGAGAGCCCAATATCACATGTTGGGACCCATAATTTAATTTCTCAAAGCAAAACAAAGGTGTGAACATTTTGACTAGCCAATTGGATTAAGTACAATTTTTGATATATGCAGAGTAAGGCACATATGAAGAATATAGCAACCCAAGGGACTTGTTTAGATGGATATTTGGGAGAATTTGGATTGATTTTTTTAAAACTCTTTTAAATTTAAATCTTTTTTATAAGGATGAGATTCAACATCGAATTTGGTCAATACCTATATTTGGTATGCAACACTCACGAATATATCATAATTATTAACAATTATTTGTCATATAAATGATTATTTTGTCTTTAATCAATCTAATTCATACTCATATTAAGGGGTATAACTATTTATTATATTCTTAACCTTTTAACCCATCTTTTCAAATTCACCCTCTAGATTTTACAAAACTCATGATTATGAGTTTAATATTCGAGCCAACTGCAGGCTAAGTTTAAGAACTTAAGATTGAATTTTCAATTCAAACATAAAGTTTGGAGGTTTTTGGGATTATTTTTTTCTATACCTATCCCGTCAATTCCCCAAGACTCCATTACCGAACAGTCTCACAGTTAATGACCTTTCACTAAATAATTCTCTATTTTCTCTATATGGGTGAATTCAAAATAATTTTTTTAGATATGAACTCTTAACAGTGGAAGGTATTTTTGTCATTTTACTCTCTTGTACCGCCTTTGCATTGTACCCGAAAGATAATACTACCGGGTATATGGTATTCATTAATACCATATACATGACATTTAGGATATTGTTCAAACCAGATCGGTATTACGATCCGAAAAAAAGTACTGGATGTAAAATGCTAAACAAACAAGATATAAGGTGGACCTCACGTATTATTTTCTTCTATTCCACCATATAATATCATCTAATCCTTGAACCAAACATGCCTTTTATGTATTGATCTTAATACTGATCTAATACCTTAATACTGATTTAAGTATTAGAGGAACTTTTCCCGGGTCAACGGTGGAAAAAATAATATTCGAAAATTAGGGATACATCTCGATACATTTTAAGGATTGTCGTATTTTTGCACATATACAACTATTATATCAGGACAGCAATCAAGGTCAAAAATTTCAAAGCAACTGGTTAAGTAAGAGAGAAAAAAAAAGCCGAACCAACGATGGAACCAAATCTAGTATGTTAATATTTTGGGAGGATTAATTTAATAATTTCATAAAAAATAAATTAAAATCAAATGGTGAACATAAAATTTTAACATCCGGGCCATGACCATCAAGCCAACCGAATATAACCCTTTATTATTGTTTTGTAGCTTCATGAACACTAAATAAGGACGATTTTTTTCTCCCTTTTTGTCTGTGGTATAAAAAGGGCAAAAAAAATAAAATATTATGCAATTTTTTTGGTGGATGTTATCTTTTTTTTCACTCATACCACAAGCATGTGGTAACTTCTTAAACAAGATGTGGGGAAAAAGTAGGTTTTTTTTTTTTATAATTAAGGACAAAAAGTAGTTGAACAATGAAAATATAGCAATTGGAAATAACGTGGCTTCTTTAATGCAACTCACATCACTTATACTTTTAGAACACTTTTCACCAACCGGCAATGAAATAAGCATTCTTTAGTAGTGTTATTGAAATTTAAAAAATTAATTTAATTTATTGGCGTAATAATACGATAATGACTACAACTATTATATTTTTTTATGAACAATACTATGTAACTCAAATTTACAACCAAAATTGATATATTAAATAAAAGGGGACCATTGGAACACATAATATTTCCCTTCTTTTTTTGATTAAGATTGTATTACTTAATATATATGGACACGCCTACCAAATAAACATGTCTAAAGTTTTGCCATTGGGCCCACCACTTTTTTTTTGGGTGTAAATAAATCTGAACACGGCCATCAACTTATTCAAAAGTTTTGCTATTGGGCCCCCCATTTTGAGCCTTTTTCAGCCATCTATAGAGTTTTGATCTAGGAAATACGGATACGAATACGTGACACGAGTACGATACGATATGAATACGGTGATACGGTAAAACTTAAAAAAATAAGATACAGGTACGGCCAGGATACGTCTATAATAAAATATATTTTATATTTTATTATTATTTAACGACTTAGAAATTATAATTTTTCAATAATTCTTTAACATTAGTAAGTAAAATTAAAAATTTTTACCATGAAAAGGTTATAATATCATCTCATTATGATCTGTTCATAAAATAAGCATAACAAATTAAAGGAATTATAATAACATTTAACTAGTTGGTTTTACAAGTATTTATTTTTAAAAGTATAGTGTAAGTGATTCATTTTTTTTATACCCTCTTAACATATAATAATAAATAATACTTAAAAAACACTCGTGTTTTTAAAATCAGATGAAATTTTGTTGATGTTTTATATTGTATGTGAACTCCAAAGAAGGGTTATAGCTTAAAATTGAAAATTGTACATCTTACACCATGTTTAGAAGTATCCGCGAAGTATCCACATATTTTATTAATTATCGGATACGGATGATGCGTATCCGATACGTATCATCGAGTATCTTATGAGTATCGTATCTGATACGGTATCAGATACGGGTACGTCGACATTGACGAAATATCCGTGCTTCATAGGTTTTGATTCAGTTTCTCTCTAATAATGTCATTTTGAATCATTTTCTCCAACATTTTTACCAATAAAAAATAATAAATAATAAATACCCAAAAATATTTACTGGAAAATAATCATTATCAAATGACCGAACAAACTAATTAGGCTTAATTTAGCTGGCCAATATTCGTAAGTAAGAAATTAAGAGGTCAATTCTTATAGAACACGATGATTGATTTGTAAGTGTATGAAATTTCCTATTGATGATTTTTTTCCCTATTTCTTGGGTTGTTTTCGTAAGAGAAAAATGTTTGAGAAAACAAAAAAAAAAAAAAACTTATTAAATTATTTGGATCTTACATAACTGGAGCATTGATTCTGCATGTGAAAAATATTTTTAAGTACTGTCAATGAGCCAATCATTTTTGTGGTGATTGTAAGACCTACCTAGCTACCCGTTTGAAGTACTCCATTATTTATGAAACATCTATGAAGCACGGACACTCAATTTTAGCTCACGTATCCGTGTCCGACACGTCTGGGACATGAACATGTTTGGACACGCTGGGGACACGTGTTGGACACGTTAATTAGAGTGTCTAATTTTTTTTTTAATTTTTAAAATTTGGACACACATCAGACACGTTTAAGGGCTATTTTATAATTTTAAAATTAAAACATGAGATTTTTTTTGTAATTATTTAAAAGTGGCAGGGCTAGAAAATAAAAAGCCCAAAGACTAGAAATTAAAACATAAATATATATATTTTTTATATATCTCTCTGTGTTCGACGAAGAAAAAAAAAGAGAACAGAGGCAACGAAGAAAAAAAAAGAAGAAAACTTCGGCGATGTCTAGGCTCCTCTGTCACCCTGGTGACTTTGGTTCACTCCGGTGACTTTGGTTCTCTCCAACAAGTCAGGATTCGAGATTCCTTATTTTCTTGGATAATTTTTCAACAACCAGCACATCATAGGTAACCTTCAGGGCTTCTCCTCTGTCTTTAGGGCTTATCCTCTATCTTCAGGTAACCTTCAACGAAAAAAATGTGATTCTCATCTATTTTTAGGGCTTCTCCTGTTAGAGTTTTCAGTTAGGGTTTAACAGGTTTTAAACCCTAACAGGGGAAAGAAAAATTGGCATTTTTTTCATTCTATGTTTCTG